CCACGCGCAGGGAGAGGCTGAGGGCGGCCAGGCTGTGGGGCTGGGTGCAGGCCACCAGCCCGTGGGCAAACGACATGGACAGGGCGTACTCGGCGCACCACTGAGGGATCTGTGGGGACAGGGCATGGGTAGTGTGGCTTCAGGACTGTCCCCTCCCCGCTGTGCCACTCCAAAGGGCACAAAGACCCTCCCCATGGATTTGGCTGCAGGATCTCCAGGGTCAGGGGCTGTCCAGAGGCACTCAATTTTCATTTTGTGTGAAAAATGCCTATTTTATAATTGGCTTTTTGCAAACATTAAAATGAATATTGTGTGTTATGTTAGAAAGTGATGCTCTATTAGTTTTCTTAAGTGGTGTGTTAAATATAGCTTTAGGTTATAACAAAATGTTAAAATAGAAACTATGCTATGTAAGATACTTTTTTAAAGACAGGACTTGCACTGAGATAGCAGCCACAGGACACCTGAATCTTTCAGAGAAAGAGAATTTATTGCTCCATTATCAGGGGAAATGAACTTCTTCCCACCTCACTCAGCCACGAAGACTCTGGTTAGGATCAATACGAAGAAGTTGACACTGACCAGACAGAATCCTTTGTTTGAATGGAATTGATGCATCATGTATGAGGTGTATGAATATGCAACAGGTTATTGTTTTTAAGGGTTAATCCTCTGTTAATGTGGGTCCTTTTTTGGGCTTATTTTGCCCAGAAAGAGGTACCTGGACTGTCCATAACTCTTTGTTTCTATTGTCTCATATTGTCCTAATCCAAATTGTCCAAAATTTTTATTACTCTAATTAAATTGCTGTATTTATTACCATTTTATTACTATTAAACTTTTAAGATTTTTAAAAACAAGTGATTGGCGTTTTTCACAGGCAAGATCTTCCCTCTGCGCTCCTGTCACCTCTGAGCCCCACAGTCTGTGACAGGAGCCCCTTGGCCCCACACCTGCAGCTTCCTGCCCTGGTGTGGGACACCACGACCCTGCTCTCACATGAGGGACATGGGACAAACCCCACAGAGGGACAGGGAAGGGATCACCAGGGAGCAGCTGCTGGCCAAGTGCCTGGCCTGACAGCGTGGGACAGTGCCAAGGCCACGCAGATGTCCCTTTGGCACCAGGGACCTGAGTCCTGCTCCCTCCTGTCCCCTCTGAGGCCCCCACGAGCACTGCCTGTGCCTCAGTGTCCCCAGGGCCCTGCAGGGACTAACAGCAGGGAGCTGCACCCCAAAACACCGACCCTGGGGCCCACACAGGAGCTTTGATCTCCAAATCCGGCAGTGCCAGCCCAGCCCAGGAACTCAGCAGGTCACACCCAGGGAGCTGATTTGCTTGAGCACCTGGAGCCCAGGGACAACACCCTGATAGCCTGGGGGACCCAGCCCGACAGCCCGGGGGACCCAGGCCATTCCAACACCCCGACAGCCTGGGGGACTCAGCCCGATATTCTGGGGGGACCCAGCCCATTCCAACACCCCGACAGCCCGGGGGACCCAGTCCATTCCAACACCCCAATATCCTGGGAGATCCAGCCCATTCCAACACCTCGATATCCTGGGCGACCCAGCCCGATATCCTGGGGGACCCAGCGCAATAGCCTGGGGGGACCCAGCCCCTTCCAACACCCCAACAGCCTGAGGGATCCAGACCATTCCAACACCCTGATATCCTGGAGGACCCAGCCCGATATCTTAGGGGATCCATCCCATTCCAACACCCTGACAGCCCGGGGGACCCAGCCCACTCCAACACCCTCATATCCTGGGGGACCCAGCCCATTCCAACACCCCAAAATCCTGACCCAGCCCATTCCAACACCCCGACAGCCTCAGGCGACCCAGCCCATTCCAGCCCTGCAGCTCCGCCACCACAATCCCCTCCCCGGTCAAAGTCTGCCCCGTGCTGTCCCCGAGCGTCACCAGCAGCTGGGACCGGTTCCCCGGGGCCACCCCGCGGGGATCTGCAGGCCCAACTCCGGGAGGGGCCGTTCCTCCCTCCGGTGCCAGCGATCCCCGGTTCGTGCCCAGCTTTGCCCATCCCCAGCACATCCCGGTGCCCGCCCACCCCGCCGGGCTCCGTGCAGCGTTCCCGGGCACCCTGTCCGTGTGTCCCTCTCCACCCGCTCTGGGGGGATCAGACACCACAGCCCAGCTGCCCTCGGGCTCACCTGCGTGCTCTTGCCGGTACCGGGGGGCCCGGACACCAGCACGATGCCGCTGCTGCCCTCCAGGTGCTCCATGAAGCTGTACTTGGCCGTCCACACCGGCAGCTCCCGCCGCTGCCGCAGCAGCTCGTAGTACCGGGAGGAGAAGGGCAGCCCGTCGTAGGGATTCACCTCCAGGTCGCCGTCGCAGCCCAGGGACGGCTCTTCATCCTCCTCCTCCTCTTCCTCCAGCGCGGAGCCGGGGCCGCTCGGCCCGGGTAGGGGAGCCGGGGCCCCGGAGCCGGCCATGGCGGGGACACCGGAGCTGCGAGGGCGGGCGGGGGTGGAGCGGCACCGGCGCTGACCCACCCCCGCCTACGTACCGGGAGGGCGCCCGGTGCTGCCCAGTGCCACGTCCCGGCCGGCGGGGAGGGGGGACCCGCGGGCACCGGGGACGGCCGGGGGATGCGGGCACGGGGGTGACACGGCCGCGGAAATCAGGGACAGAACCGGAGTGTGGGGGACCGGGAGAACGGGCGGGGAACCGGGAAAGGGGATGGGGCACCGGGAGAGCCCCGCAGGACCGAGCGGAGTGCGGACACCGGACAGGTGTGCTGTTCCCCGCCGTGCGTGGGGACCGGACCGGAGGCGGGGTACGGGGGTTGCGGGACAGGGCGGACACCTTGAGAGGGTCGGTCCCGAACGGCACGGGCCGGACGGGATCGGCGGAGCACCTGTACGGGACGGTCCGGACCGGGCACCTGAGCACCGGCACCGGGCCGGAGCGGAGCGGGCGGGCGGGTCGGGGGCGGGTTCCCCGCACCCCCTCAGGGCCGCGGCCCCGGTTCCGGCCCCGGTTCCGGTTCCGGTCCCGCCGCTCACCTGCGCGCGCCACCGCGGGCTCTGCCGGGGGACACGGCCACGTGACCCGCGGCAGCCAATCAGCGCCCGCGCCGGGCGGGGCCCGGATGTGGCGGCGGGACCGGAGCGGACGGAGCGCCCCGGGACCCCCCCCTCAGCACCGCTCCCGCCTCCGCTGCCAGCTCCGCCCTGCGCCCCCGAGCCGGGCACGGCTGCGGCCTCAGCCCCCGAGCAGCCCCTGTTCGGACCGGGCTTCCCGGTACCGGCCATCTCGGTGCTGATGTGGGGTATCCCGTACTGGATCTGGGCATCCCGGTGCGGGACCGGGCGTACCACAGCCGGGCATCTTGCACCGGCGTATCTTGTAGCAGTGTTGAGCATTTCCATACAGAACATCTTATAGTGCTGTGGGATGTACCGGAACCGGGTATCCTGTACCGGTGTCGGTCCTTCCGTACCGGAGCATCCCGTAACGGTGCTGCTCATACCGGAGCTGGCATCCCGCTGCTGTACGGGGCATCCCGTACCAACACGGGGTGTATCGGGGCTGGGCATCCCGCTGCAGGACATCCCGTACCGGCTCCTCGCACGCGAAGCGGCTCCCGGTGGGACCGGCAGGTGGAGCTCCGTGACCGGCGAACGGCCCGGCCTGAGCTCCCGCCGGGACCGGGCACGGACCGGGGACCCAGCGGTGCCTGCTGGCCCCGGGACTGCGGAGATCGGGAACCGGGAGGGTTTGGGGACATACACGGGGGGTTCAAAAATAATAATTAAAATAATATAATAATTAATATTATTAGTTAATAATATTTGATTATTAATTGAATAATATTAAATCTTAAAGAATAAATAAAATATTGTATTAAAGGATTCTACAGTAAAGTATACTAAAGAATACAGAAAGCATACTTACACAATGGTAAATGGTAATAATGGTAATAATAATAATAATGATAATAATTAATAATTGTAAAAATAAATAATAATAACAGTAATAATAATTAAATTGTAATAATTAATAATCAATAATGTTAGGAATATTTAATTTAATATTAATTAAATAATATTAAATATTAAATAACGAATAAAATCTTGTATTAAAGAATTCTATAGTAAACTATACTAAAGAATACAGAAAGGATACTTACACAATAGTAAATGGTATTAATGGTAATAATAATGGTAATAATTAATAATGTTAATAAATAATAATAATGCTAATAATAATTAATGATAATAATTAATACTAATTAAGAATAATTAATTGATTATTAATTAAATAATATTAAGTAATAAATAAAATATTGTATTAAAGAATTCTATAGTAAACTATACTAAAGAATACAGAAAGGACACCTACTGAATGCTAAAAAGATAGTAATGAAAACTCGTGACTCTCTCCAGAGTCCCCACACACCTTGGCCTGATTGGCCAAAGAGTGAAAACAACTCACAGCAGAATCCAATGGAACAATCACCTGAGGGTAAACAATCTCCAAACACATTCCACATGAGCACAACACAGGAGAAGCAAATGAGACAAGAATTGTTTTCCTTTTTCTCTGAGGTTTCTCAGCTTCCCAGGAGAACAATCCCGGGTGAGGGGATTTTTTCAGAGAATGTGAGTGCCACAGGGCACGATGGCAGAAACCTTGTGCCAGCAAGGAGCCTCACAGCTCCTCAAGGCTCTTGGTGCTGTGGTGTGGCTGGAGCACTCTGTGCTCCCAGCTCCATCCCCATGTCCTGCTCTTGGTCACTCAAAAGTGTCACCATGCCACCAGAACCCACCCAGTGACCAGACTGAGCCCAGACCCTTGGCCGGTGCCGTGGGGGTCCCGGGGGCTCCATCCCCACCCCGGCAGGGACAGCACAGTGGGGTGGGCCCTGCTGAGGAAGCAGAGGTTTCACAAGCTGGGGGGGTACACGTGACACGGGACGGTGGCAGGAGGAACCACCCGTGGCTCGGCAGCGCCCCGGTCCCCCGGCAGCGCCCCGGTCCCCCGGTAGGGCCCCGGTGCTGCCCCGGTGGCCATGGCGCCCTGGCTGCCCACCAAGGACAAGCTTGGCGTGGGTGAGTGGGGACTCTGGGGCTTTGCGGGGGTCCCCACTGGGCTGGAGGGATGGGGTGCTCAGGGTGAGGTGACATCCGTGGTGACACCCCCGTGGTGGCACAAGCAGGGCTGGTGACAGCAGGCTCAGGGACAGTGGCCAAGCAGGACAGGAGCCAGCAGCACCCACGCACCAGGAGGTGCAGGGCTGGTGCTGCTGGAGGTGGGGAGCACTGGGCTGGGGGCTTGGCTTCCCTCCAGCCTCTGGGGGAGCCTTGAGACACCCCAGGAATTTTCCTCAGGGGGAAATTGCAGCTGCCTTGCAAAGCCTTGGGCACCCCCAGTTTGGGCTCCCCGTGCCTTGCACCAGCTCTGAGCACCCCCACTCCCTGCAGCACCCCCAGCTTCTGCTGGCTCCTGCAGCCCTGTGCTTCTTCCCTTTTCTTGTGGGGCCGTTTCCTGCGCCCTTCCCTTGCACTCTCTGCAATGCCTGAGCTGCTGCAGGGTTCTGGGGAGCATCTGAGCTGCTGCAGGGTCCTGGGGAGCACCTGAGCTGCTGCAGGGTTCTGGGCAGTGCCTGAGTGAGGGCTGAGCTGCTGCTGCTCCCAGCATGGGGAGCTCAGGGTGATGGGAAGGGTCCTGTGGGACCTCGGTGTTCCTGGTGCCAGGTGGGTCTGGGGGTGCTGCAGTATGAGCTGGCCATGCCTGGAGCTCAGGGTGGGCACAGGTGCTGACAGAGACCCCCCGGTGCAGGGGGCTGTCCCCAAATCTGGGGACCAAACCAGGCCTGCTGGCCCTGGTGCCAGAAATAGCGACAGGGACAACCACAGCACAGCCGGGCAGGAAGCTGCTGGTCACCGAGAGCACCGCCCCCTCCCCTGCCGCCGGCTCTGCTGTCCCCAAACAGGCCTGTCCCTGTGTCACCAGACTGTCCCTGCGCCACCAGAGCTGTCATTGGGCCACCAGCCCTGTCCCTGAGCCACCAGACCTGTCTCTGGGTCACCAAACTGTTCCTGTGCCACCAGCCCTGTCCCTGTGCCACTAGCCCTGTCCCTGCACCACCAAACTGTCCCTGTGTCCCGCTGCCACCATCCCCGGGCAGGGGCTCAGCTGGCACTTCCCTCCCCACACTTTTTGTGCCAGGAGCAGGACCACCGGCACCCAGGGTGTGGGTGGAGGCAGAGGGGACCCATAAGGGACCCTGAATGCCAAAAAGGGGCTGGGGGATTCTGTGTGGGGTGTGTGGGCCTGGGGGATTCTGTGTGGGGTCAGGATGCTTGGGGGTCTCATCCCTGAGCTGTTTGTGGGGCCGGGGCTCTGCCCCATCTCTCAGGGCTGGACAGGGCCTGTTTTGGGGGGCACCATGGGGGGCTTGGTGTGGGGTGCAGGTGCCTGGGGGCTGCTGAGGGGCTCCTGGCAGGGATCCCAACCCCCATCCCCTCTTCCCACAGCCGTGTGGAACTTCCCGCGCACCAAGGAGCATCACCTGCCGCTGCAGATTGGGGAGATGGTGCACATCCTGCAGGCCTCCGAGGGTAAGGGGGACCCCCAGTGAGGGTTCCTGCCCCCTCCTTTGTCCCTGAGCCAGGCCCAGGCCCCCCAGCCCGGCTGACAGTGTCCCCTCCCCTGGCAGGCTGGTACTGCGGGTACTCGCTCCGGAACAGGGCTGCCCGGGTAGGTGACAGGCTGCTGGGGTTTGGTGGCAGCAGGGACACTGCTGGTGGCTCTCTGTCCCTGCTGGGTGTCTGGGGGGGCAGGCTGGGCACCCTGTGGCATTGGCAGCCCCCAGCTGTGCCCCCCTGAGGGAGATCTCCATGGCTCTGGCTCCCTCAGGGCATCTTCCCTGCCTCGCTGATCCGGCTGAAGGGCACCACGGTGGAGCAGAGGGGGTAGGTCTGGGGGGCACAGGCAGGGTGTGTGGGGGGCTCCACTTTCTGCTCCCTGTGGTCCTGGGGTGCTCCAGGGCTCCCTGTGCCTCCCCCAGGCTGGAGGAGAGCGCGGTGCCCTCCGACATGCCCATGGTGCAGGAGATCACCACCACGCTGCGCGAGTGGGCCACCATCTGGAAGCAGCTCTACATGGTGAGGGATGAGGCTCTGGGTGTTGGGGACACCTGGGGACAGGCTGGGGGAGCCCCGGTGACCCCGTGGTGGTGCTGCAGGCCGGGCAGACGGAGCGCTATGGGCAGGTGAAGAGGATGATGCAGGAACTGATGGAGCAGCGCTCGCAGCTGCTCTCGGGGACGCTGCCCAAGGACCAGCTCCTGAGGCTCAGGAAGGAGGTCACCGGCAGGATGGACTATGGCAACAAGTGAGGCTGGGGACAGGGACCTCAGATCTGCCTTGGGGACAGGGACCTCAAATCTGCCTCTGGGACAGGGACCTCAGATCTGCCTCTGGGACAGGGACCTCAAATCTGCCTCTGGCAGGGACCCCAAATCTGCCTCTGGGACAGGGACCTCAGATCTGCCTCGGGGACAGGGACCTCAAATCTGCCTCTGGCACAGGCTGTGCAGAGCCCAGGTGTCCTCCTGGTGTCCTGGCTGGCTGTCCCAGTGTCCCCATTGTCCCAGCTGGCTGTCCCGTGCTGGCTGGGGACAGTAATTGTGCCACCAGCTGCTCAAGCCACCTGGCCAAGGGCTATGGCTGGGACAGGAATGCTCCTGGTGCTGTCAGCTCCTGTCCCCTTTCCCAGTGGGATCTGTCCTGTCCTCTCACACCCTGTGCAAGGACAAGTGAGTCCTGGTGGGACACACAGGCCTGTGATGCCAGCTGCTGTCCCCTTTCCCAGTAGGATCTGTGCTGTCCCCTCACACCCTGTGCAAGGACAAGTGAGTCCTGGTGGGACACACAGCCCCAGGCGCCCCCAGTCCTGTCTCACCCCACCCTGACCCCTGCAGGATCCTCGCCCTGGACCTGGTGGTGCGGGATGAGGACGAGAACATCCTGGACCCCGACAGGACCAGCGTCATCAGCCTCTTCCAGGCTCACAGGAGGGCGGCACAGACCCTCAGCCAGCGCCTCCAGGAGGAGACGGTGAGGCTGCTGCCAGCCTGATGGGTGTCCCAGAGCCTGATGTCCCCTGTGCCAGGGGAGGTGACAAGGCTGAGCCACCTCGTGTCCCCCAGAGCTCGCAGCAGAGGGCACCGGGCCACGGCGCCCACGGGGCTGCTTCGCCCTCCCACAACCTCTACCTGTGCGTGCGGAACTTCGTGTGCCACATCGGGGAGGAGGCGCAGCTCTTCATGGCGCTGTATGACCCCGGCGAGCAGCGCATCATCAGGTGGGGGCTCAGGACAGACCCCTGCCCCTGTCCCTGCTGTGCTGGGTGTTTGTCCTGCTGCCCCCTGAGGCGTTCCCCTCATGCTGCCCGTCCTGCCCAGCCCTGAGAACCCAGCGGTGTCGCAGGGGGAAGGGACACATCCCTTTATTGTCATGGCGCCATATCCCATGGGACAGCCCATCCTGTCCTGCCCCAGGCACTGCTGAGGTGACCAGGGGACAGCCAGGCTGGGCCAGTGCCTGTGCCGCGACTGGGGACCCTGGTGGGATGGACGGTCCGTGGGATGGGAGCTGTTGGGGTCTCTGCCACCCCCGTGCCCACCTCAACCCTCCCCCGCCCCGCAGCGAGAACTACGTGATCCGCTGGGCCAGCACCGGCGTCCCGCAGGACATCGAGCTGCTCAACAACCTCAGGGTGGTGTTCACGGTGAGCGCAGAGCCTGGGGGAACCGCGCTGCTGCCCCTCCTGCAGATCTGCCCCCACCCGCAGCTTTTCGGTGCTCCGTGTGCCACCCCTGTACCCCCAGCCCCTTCACAGATCCCTGACCTGCACCCGCCGTGGAGCTGCCCCTCGGGGTCCCCTCCCAGTGCTGAGGGTCCTGGGGTCCCCTCCCGGTGCTGGGGGTCCCCTTGCAGTGCTGGGGGTCTCGGGGTGCTCTCCCGGTGCTGGGGTCCCGGGTTCCCTTCGGTGCTGGGGGTCCGGGGCTCCCCTCCCGGTGCTGGGGGTCCCCTTGCAGTGCTGGGGGTCCCGGGGTCCCCTCTCGGTGCTGAAGATCTCGAAGTCCCCTCCCGGTGCTGGGGGTCCCTCGTCCCCTCTCGGTGCCTGGGGTCCCGGTGTGTCCCGTCCCCGCTCGTCCCACGCCCCCGTTGCTGACTCAGCGCTTTGGCTGCAGCGCAGCGCTGACCCCGGGGACGCCGCGGAGCCATCGATATGCAAATGAGGCGGGAAAATCAATGTTAATTAATGAGCAGCATCAGCACTTGGGCTGCGCTGCCGCCCCCGGTTCTCGCCTATCTCCGCGCTCTGCTCTGCTCTGCTCTGCTCGGCTCTGCTCGCTGCTGATGTCCCTAAGCGCTGTGGCTTGTCCCCATCCCTTGTCCTTAGCGCCGCTGGGAGTTTTTGGCGCAGGGGCAGACCCCGAGGGACCCGGTCCCCTCCCCAGCTGGGGTACAGGGCCCCCCCACATCCTCACACCCTGCCAGGTTCCCCCCGCTGCCAAACTGCCTGGTCTGGGGTGACCCGCTGGGTCCGTCAATCCTGGCATTGTGCCCACCGCGGGCATTTGGGGCTGGCATTTTCCCCACCGCGGGGATTTGGGGCTGGCATTGTCCCCACCGCGGGGACTGGGGACTCCTGGGGTGCACGGGAGCCCCCAGAACAGCAGGGCTGTGTCCCCACTGTCCCCACAGTGCAGGGCAGCAGGGACGCTCTATGCCCACCGCCACCCCCTGGGCACTCGGCACTGTCACTGTCCCATCCTCTGCGGTGCTGCCAGGGTGACACGGCCCCTGTGTGTCCCCCAGGACCTGGGCAGCGCGGACCTGAAGCGGGAGCGGCTGTTCCTGGTGTGCCAGATCATCCGCGTGGGGCGCATGGACCTGCGCGACAGCCACAGCCGCAAGCTCAGCACGGGGCTGCGCCGGCCCTTCGGCATCTCAGGTGGGGCTGGGGACACCGGGGACCCCCAGGGACCCCCGTGCCACCACCCTGGCACTCCCCCAGAGCCACCACACCGGGATCTGTGATGTCCCTGGGCTGTCCCTTTTCCCTGCTGGCTCCAACCCCATGGTTGTCCCCACACTGTCCCTGCCCAAGGGACACAAAGCCCACCCTGTCCTGGCACAGGGGACCCCCTGAGCAGCCCTGGGGAGCTCCCCTGCCTTCACCTCCCTCCATGACCCCATTCTGGGCTGGGAGTGCCACCCCTGGCACGGCGCCACCTGTGTGTCACTGCAGTGATGGACATCACCGACATCGCCAGGGGGACGTGTGACAGCGACGAGGACAAGCAGCACTTCATCCCTGTCCACCTGTGAGCCCCGAGGGGAGGCTGGGAGGGCAGGGAGGAGCACCCCAGGGCCTGGCTGGCATGGGGACAGCACCTGGTGGCATGGGGACACCACCTGGCTGGCATGGGGACATCCCCTGGCTGGCATGGGGACATCCCCTGGCTGCCAGGGGACAAGAGGTGCAAGGACCCAAGAGAAAAGGTTTTTGCCCCAAATGTGGCTTTCCCAGGGTGGCAGCTGATGGCGATTTCCTTCACACCATGATCCGGAAAGCGGTGGAGGGCAAGGACATCAACCACAAGGGACAAGGTAGAGAGCCTGTGTCCCCTGGGCCATCTGCTTGTCACATGAGGGATCGAGGGATTGTGTGTCACCCTGTCACCCCCTGAAAAATCCCTGTGGTCCCTGCAGGGCTCTGGGTGTCCCTGAAGGTGCTCTGGGGTGACCTGAGCCAGGTGAGGAAGGATCACCCGCACCTGGTGGACCGCAGCACGGCCGTGGCTCGCAAGCTGGGCTACCCGGAGGTCATAATGCCAGGCAAGCGTGCTGGGGACAATCCTGGGCGTCCCTGGGGGTGGCAGCGTGGTGGCAGGGCCTGGCTGACGGGGCTGTCCCCACAGGTGATGTCAGGAACGACATCTACCTGACCCTGGTGCAGGGTGAGTTCGACAAGGGCAGCAAGAAGACGCAGAAGAACGTGGAGGTGACAGTGTGTGTGTGTGACGAGGCAGGAAACATGGTGCAGGTATGGCAGGTGTCCCCTGTGTCACACTGAGTATGGCAGGTGTCCCCTGTGTCACCTCGGGTATGGCGGGTGTCCCTTGTGTCACCTTGGGTATGGCAGGTGTCCCCTGTGTCACACTGAGTATGGCAGGTGTCCCCTGTGTCACCTCGGGTATGGCGGGTGTCCCCTGTGTCACACTGAGTATGGCAGGTGTCCCTTGTGTCACCTCACATTGAGTATGGCAGGTGTCCCCCTTGTCACCTTGGGTATGGCAGGTGTTCCCTGTGTCACATTGACTATGGCAGGTGTCCCCTGTGTCATCTCGGGTATGGCAGGTGTCCCTTGTGTAACATTGAGTATGGCAGGTGTCTCTTGTGTAACCTTGGGTATGGCAGGTGTCCCCCTGTGTCACCTCACATTGAGTATAGCAGGTGTCCCCTGTGTCACATTGACTATGGCAGGTGTCCCTTGTGTCACCTCACATTGAGTATAGCAGGTGTCCCCTGTGTCACCTCAGGTATGGCAGGTGTCCCCTGTGTCATCTCGGGTATGGCAGGTGTCCCCTGTGTCACCTTGGGTATGGCAGGTGTCCCCCCTGTCACCTCACCTCGGGTAGAGCCAGCAGCTCCTCCAGGCTGGGGGAGCCTTTCAGGCCACTGGAGCTGCCCAAACCAGAGATCTGGGAATGGAATAAAGAAATGGGAAAGTGACAATAAAGAAATGGGACAGAGAGAAAATTGTCCTGCCTTGGGGACAGCCAGACCCCCTGGCCACCCTCAGTGTCCCCAGGACAGGAAGGAGCTGCGGGCAGGGGGGTCAGACCCAGGTGTCACCTCCCCAGGGTGGCACTTGTCACCCTCCAAGTGTTCTGTCCCCAGTTCTCACCTGGCTCCTGAGGGACGGGCTGCAATTCTCCATCCCCATCCCCAGGGCCATGCCCCGATGTGCCCTGGGAGGGCCGTGTGTCCCCTCGGAGGTGTCACTGGGCAGTTTAGGGGGGTGTGGGCAGGGGGTTTGGGACAGGAATTGTCCCCTCCCTGCGAGGTCATTGAGCTGATCCCCAGGTGTCTCCTCCTGCAGAACGTGATCCACGCGGGAGCAGGGGACAGCCCCAGCAGCCTCTACCGCTCTGTTGTCTACTACCAGCAGCGGCACCAGCGCTGGATGGAGACCCTCAAGGTGTGGGGACACCGGGGCTGGGGTGGGACAGCCCTGCAGCCCCTCCTGGATGTGCCACTCGCTCCTCCTGCTGCTGTGGGGGTCCCTTTCAGGCCAGGCGTTTTGGGGCCAGTCCTTGGTCCCATCTCGGGGACAATGGAGGTGCTGGCAGGGTCACAGTGTGACCCCTGGGTGGTCACCCGGTCCTGGGGATGTGTGACTGTGTTCACAGGGGTCTGAGGATGAGGGAAGAGACGAGGATCTGACTCCATGTTTCAGAAGGCTCGATTTATTATTTTGTGATATATATTATATTAAAACTGTACTAAAAGAATAGAAGAAAGGATTTCATCAGAAGGCCAGCTAAGAATAGAATAGAAGGAATGAATAACAAAGGTTTGTGTCTTGGGCAGAGAGTCCGAGCCAGCTGACTGTGATTGGCCATTAATTAGAAACAACCACATGAAACCAATCACAGATGCACCTGTTGCATTCCACAGCAGCAGATAATCAATGTTTACATTTTGTTCCTGAGGCCTCTCAGCTTCTCAGGAGGAAAAATCCTAAAGAAAAGATTCTTCATAAAACATGTCTGTGACAGGGATGGGCCCTGCAGCCCTGTCCCCATCCCAGTGCTCCCAGTTCAGCCTCACTGGTTCACTGGGGAGGACATGAGGTTGGTTTGCAGCAGTGGAGGGTCTGGCACAGCCCCTGCCTGGGCACAGAGGGACATCATTGGGGGCACAGAGGGACATTGGCCAGGTGGGGCACAGAGGGACATTGGCCAGGTGTGGGCAGTGAGGGACATTGGCCAGATGGGGGACAGAGGGACATCATTGGCCAGGTGGGGGACAGAGGGACATTGGCCAGAGGGACATTGGCCAGGTGTGGGCACAGAGGGACATTGGCTAGGTGGGGGACAGAGGGACAGTGGCCAGGTGAGGCACACAGGGACATTGGCCAGGTGTGGGCAGTGAGGGACATTGGCCAGATGGGGGGACAGAGGGACAGTGGCCAGGTTGGGGACAGAGGGACAGTGGCCAGAGGGACATTGGCCAGGCGTAGGCACACAGGAACATTGGCCAGGTGGGAGCGCAGAGGGACATCATTGGCCAGGTGGGGGACAGAGGGACATTGGCCAGAGGGACAGTGGCCAGGTGAGGCACACAGGGACATTGGCCAGGTGTGGGACAGAGGGACAGTGGCCAGGTGGGGGGACAGAGGGACAGTGGCCAGGTGTGGGACAGAGGGACAGTGGCCAGAGGGACATTGGCCAGGCGTAGGCACACAGGGACATTGGCCAGGTGGGGGACAGAGGGACAGTGGCCAGGTGGGGGACAGAGGGACATTGGCCAGAGGGACATTGGCCAGGTGTGGGCACAGAGGGACATTGGCCAGGTGGGGCACAGAGGGACATTGGCCAGAGGGGCATTACTCAGGTGTGGGCACACAGGGACATTGGCCAGGTGTGGGACAGAGGGACATTGGCCAGGTGGGGGCACACAGGGACATTGCCCAGCTGGTGGCACAGCCCCTGCCCTCACCTTGGCCCCTCTCCCCCCAGATCGCTGTCCCCATCGAGGACGTGCACAGGACCCACCTGAGGTTCACCTTCCGCCACCGCTCCTCCAGCGACTGTGAGTGTCCCCTCTCATGTCCCCTGGTGCCACACTGCCTGTCCCTGCCTGGGGCCGTGTCCCTGGTCCCCTGCAGCTCCCCCTCACGCTGTGTCCCCCCAGCCAAGGACCGGAGCGAGCGGATTTTCTCCATGGCCTTTGTGAGGCTGATGCGCCCCGATGGCACCACGCTGCGGGATGGGGAGCACGACCTGGTGCTCTACAAGGTATGGGGGGCCCCAGAACCCCCTAAAGTGGGGAGAGCTGTGGGGCAGCAGCAACTTCTGGGGCCAGGATCCCAGTCCCTGCCTGAGCCACGGCGCTGGTGGCACGTACCCAAAGTCCCCGAGGGTTTGTGGTGTCCCCGAGGGTTTGTGGTGCCTCCCTGCTGTCCCTGCTGTCCTTGGTGACAGGGTCTCTCTGCACACACATCTCCAATCCCTGTGCTGCTCCTCTGGAACGCCAAGTTTGCTTTTGGAGAAGGTGATTTAAGCCTTTGTGACGGGCAGGGAACGTCCCCGTGCTGTGGCTGCGCTTCACCTGATTTCACCAGCCCTGCACTGCTGGGGTTTGCTCTGAGACAGTGGGGGGGAGGCAAAAATCGCTGCTCATTTGGGAAAAAACGCTGTCAGCTTTAATGTGAAGGTGCTGCTCCCTTACCTGGTGTCCCCTCACCACACTGGGACTGCTGTGACAAGAGGAGTGGGTGGTGCAAGCTGGTCCCCACTGCCAGGGTGAGCTCTGGGCTCTTCCCTGCGTGTTGACACCTTCTGGGTCCCTTTTGGGGTCCCTTTTGAGGTCCCTGTTGTGGTCCCTTCTGGGGTCCCTTTTGAGGTCCCTGTTGTGGTCCCTTCTGGGGTCTCTTTTGGGGTCCCTTTTGGGGTCCCTCCTGGGCTCATGGAGTTCCAGTGTCCCTGGGCTGCTGCACGAGGGTTGTCTCTGATTTTGGCAACGTGACACAGTTTCTCCAGGCAGATCCACGTCCCTCCCTGAGTTCTGCCTTATTTTGGGATGGCTCCTGCCTGCTGTGGCAGCCCAGGACAGGGACAGACCACGCTGTTCCTCCCTGAGGCTCCTGCACATTTGAAATCATTATGTCCCTCCCTCCCTCCCTGCTTTATTTTTGGGTGAAAGACCCAAATTCTTGAACTGCTGCCGTGGCCCTCGGCGCTGGCTCTGCTCCCTGGCTCTTTGGGGACTGTCCCCTCCACAGCAGCAGCATTGGGCACCTTTGGGATGTGGCAGGGAGATCAAACCTCCCACACCTCCTTGCTAGGAGAACAAGCCCTGCACTGTTCCCCTCAGAGAGCTGTCCCTGCCCTGCTGAGCCCCACATCCTGAGCTGCTCCATCCTCTCCCTGCCTGGCTCTGGCTCTTCCTGGCAGGCTGGGAAGTCAGAAAATATTTCTGACTCTGAGAGTCAGAAAATATTTCATCTTTTTGTCTCTGCTTGCCAGAGGAATGTGAATGAAGGGCTTTTAGCTGCTCGGAGCTCTTGATCTCCAGCTGCTCTGAGCTCCAGATAGAGCTCAGAAAATCCCTTCCCTGGTGCTATTCCCACCTGCTGGACCGTAATTCTGATATTTGGGTCTCCAGTGTCCATCACACTGGGACAGAGAGCTGGGGACAGTGAGGGCTCAGTTTGGCCATGCTCAGGATGCTTTTGGGGAGATCAGCAGGATCTGGGGATTTTGGGGGGCTGCCATCCACTGGGGAAGAGCAGCAACAGTGTAGCAGAGTGTAATTCCCACTTGGGTGTGGCTGCTGGAGGCTCCATGACCTTCTCTCCAAATGGAGGTGGGAATTGGAGCTCTGGGGTTTCACCCCCATCCCTGGGTCAGCTCAGGGGAGTTTCCAGTTTCCCTTCCCTGCATGGGCTCAGTCCTGGGAAGGAGCACAAGCTCCAGATGTGTCTTGGAGGGGAAAAGCCACCAGCAAACAGCTCTGTCACCTCCCTGCCACCTTCATCTGTGGGGGTTTCACCCTGCCAGGCTGCAGGCAGGGAGGGATGGGTGTCTGTGAGCTGCAGCATGGCTGGCTCTGGTTATCCCTCACATCCCAGGCTGGCCAAGAGCAGGGAAGGTCACTCAGAGTGACCCCAGTGAGTCCTCCTGGGTGGAACATTGAATTTGACCCTCATTCATGGAGAAAGTTTCCCAGACTTCAAGATAGACTGGAATCCACAAAAGTGTGAAATAGATTATAGAGAGTAGTGCAGGTGTATCACTGGGTGAGAAATTGAGGTTTTGAGATTTTTAGTGTGTTGCGGATGGAAGCAACATGGTGGGCACAGGGTGATGTCCTGAGTTTCTTCTTCATGCTTCTTCTTCCTCCTTCTCCATTGGTTTGGGTGGCATTTTGTAATTGGGCAGAAAAGTCCCCATTGCAGTTCTGTGGGATCAGTTATTGGGTTAAAAGGGAAAATAATCTAGGTGTCAGTTCTTAATTATAGTTTAGTCTTAAAAGACCTTGGAACAAGAGATTGTTGGCCATTTTGTGCCTTGCTGCAGAACTCATAGCAGTGAGGCTGTTTTACTGATAAGAAATAATAAACACCTGAGTCCCAACACAAAATACTGTCTCAAGTGTATTGGGAAGGATGAAAGTTTGACAAGAAAGTCTCACAGATGCTTAGCAGAAAGATTTTTGAATGTAGAATCTGATGAAGGAATAGAGATGGAAGCAAGTTTTGATATAGAAGAAAAGAATTGCTGAGCCAGTCTCACTGGATAACCAAGGAGGCAAAGGGTGTGTTAGTTAGAAGGGTTTTTATGGCTTAGAGCAAAAGATAAACCCACCCCAAACAAGAAGATGTTTTTACCAAGCAGAAAGAGAGCACAGGCAAACAAGTCAGCAAATGTTGCAAGTAGAAAAAAGGTCTCAGAAATTTCCACTGCAAGAAAACTGAAAAACATCTTTGAGCTTAAACTGTAATGCACTGACTTTTAGTGACTGGAGAACAGTAACATGAATATGGTAATTACAGTGGTTATGACAGGCTAGAGATAAAAGTTAAGGTGTAGATTGGTTCTACTGTATGAAGATGCTCAGCAAAGAAAAGTATAGTATGCATTGTGACCAAAAGAAAAGTATATAATATATTGTGACCAAAAGAAAAGAATATTATATATTGTGACCAAAAGAAAAGTATAGAATGCATTGTAACCAAAAGAAAAGTATATAATGCATTTATAACCTAAACTCAGGGTCTCCAGGCCTGCCTGCAGCTGGAGCTGACAGCTGTAGGCACAGCTCTGTCACCCATAACCCTGGATGGAATAAACTGCATTTTGGGGAGCTGCCTGGAGTCCCACATCCCTCATCTCGGCTCTTACACAAGTGCCTTCAATCCAGACCCATAAAACCCCACAGCTGGAGCCCCCACACCCCGGGGATGGCTCAGCTGTCGCTGTGCTGTGCCCTGCAGGGTGACAGCAAGAAGCTGGAGGATGCCAGCGCGTACCTGTCGCTGCCCTGGGAGCGGAACGCGCCCGAGCCGCGGCTCCTCTCGGGCTCCTCCTTGCGAGTGAGCGGGGCCGCGGCCGCCCTGGCCCCGTCCGGCCGGGACAGCTTCCAAATCTCCACGCTGGTCTGCTCCACCAAGCTGACCCAGAACGGTGAGTGCTGGGTCCCCACAGAGCGGGGGGAGCTGCGGCTGTGTCCCCTCACCGGTGGCGCTCCCACCTGCTGGACCATAATTCTGATATTTGGGTCTCCGGTGTCCATCACACTGGGACAGAGAGCCGGGGACAGTGAGGGCTCAGTTTGGCCATGCTCAGGATGTTTTTGGGGAGATCAGCAGGATCTGGGGATTTTTGGGGCTGCCATCCACTGGAGAGGAGCAACAATGAGTGGAATTCCCACTTGAGTGTGGCTGTTGGAGGCTCCATCACCTTCCCTCCAAACTGAGGTTGGAATTGAAGCTCTGTGGTTTCACCCCCATCCCTGGATTAGCTCCTGCTGGACCATAATTCTGATATTTGGGTCTGCAGTGTCCATCATGCTGGGAGAGAGATGGGGACAGTGAGGGCTCAGTTTTTCCATGCTCAGGATGTGGGAATATTCAATTTGGCCATGCTCAGGAGGTTTTTGGAGAGATCAGCAGGATCTGGGGATTTTTGGGGCTGCCATCCAATGGAGAGGAGCAACAACGAGTGTAATTCCCACTTGGATGTGGCTGCTGGAGGCTCCATGACCTTCCCTCCAAACTGAGGTGGGAATTGGAGCTCTGTGGTTTCTCACCCCCATCCCTGGGTTAGCTCAGGGTCCCACCTGCTGGACCATAATTCTGGTATTTGGGTCTCCAGTGTCCATCACGCTGGGACAGAGAGCTGGGGACAGTGAGGGCTCAGTTTGGCCATGCTCAGGATGGTCAAGGCTGTTTTTGGGGGGATCAGCTCCATCTGGGGATTTTGGGGGGCTGCCATCCACTGGAGAGGAGCAACAATGAGTGGAATTCCCATTTGGGTGTAGCTGCTGGAGGCTCCATGACCTTCCTTCCAAATTGGGGTGGGAATTGGAGCTCTGCGGTTTGACCCCCATGCCTGGGTCAGCTCAGGGTCCCACCTGCTGGACCGTAACTCTGGTATTTGGGTCTCCAGTGTCCATCACACTGGGCTGAGATTTGGGGACAGTGAGGGCTCAGTTTGGCCATGCTCAGGCTGGTTTTGGGGATATCAGCAGGATCTGGGGATTTTGGGCGGCTGCCATCCACTGGGGAGGAGCAACAACGAGTGGAATTCCCATTTGGATGTGGCTGTTGGAGGCTCCATGACCTTCCTTCAAATTGGGGTGGGAATTGGAGCTCTGGGGTTTCACCCCCATCCCTGGGTCAGCTCAGGGGAGTTTCCAGCATCCCTGGGCTGCTCTGGTGCCCCCTCAGCCAGGGGAAGGGCCCAGGGGATGGGCTGGGCTCTCCTCCCACCCTGCTGCAAGGCTGGAGGGTGGGAATGGCTGATCCTGCTCTGGCTGAGTGCAGGGGCTCAGGGGACATGGCCTGGTGGCCTGGGGATGTGACACACAGTGACAGCAAGATGCAGAGCACTGTGGTTCAGTGTGGAGGGCTCAGGGATGAGGCTGCTCCATTCATTCCCTTCCTGTAGCACAGTTTTGTCCACCACAACCTATTTAAGGTTTGTGCTTTATGGGCTTGGCTTCAGGGGCTCTCAGTGGTTGTGGGAGGGGTCCTGGCTGCTCCTGATGGGGGAGCAGGGGGTTGGTGACACTGGGGTGTGACAGGGAGTCCTCAGTGCTCTGTTCCTCCTGCCCAGTGAACCTGCTGGGGCTGCTCAAGTGGCGCTCCAAGCCCAGCCTGCTCTGTGGGAACCTCCAGAAGCTGATGAACGTGGATGGAGGAGAGGTCATCAAGGTACAGCCAGCATTTCCTCCCTCCCTGGCTCCTGCCCCCCACTCCCCATGCCCAGAGCTGGGTTTTGGGCAGTGCTGGGGCCATCCCTCGAGCCCTGGTGTCCCTCAGTTCCTGCAGGACACGCTGGACGCCCTGTTCTCCATCATGATGGAGCACTCAGACACCGATGTCTATGACACCCTCGTGTTTGACGCCCTGGTGAGCACAACCTGGATGGGTCTGAGCCCTCCCCAGTGCAGGTGGGCACTGGTGGGACTGGGACAATGGGGTTTGAGTGACCCAGCACAGGGCAGGGCTGTTCTGGGGGACATTGTCCCTTTGGGGGACAATCCCAGCAGCATTTAAAGGTGTTTTACCACAAGAGTGATCCCAGTGATGGCTCAGGGTGGGCTCAGGGTGGCAGAGGTGTCCCTCTGCCCACGCCAAGCCGTGCCCCTGCCTGCTGCCCTCAGGTTTTCATTGTCAGGCTGGTGGCTGACAGAAAGTTCCAGCATTTCAACACAGTCCTGGAGGCCTACATCAGGCAGCACTTCAGTGCCACGCTGGCCTACAAGTGAGGGGCTGGGGCTGGGGCACAGAGGGGACGGGGCTGGGACAGCTGGAGTGGGGTGGGGGACTGGAATGGGACAGCTGGAGTGGGGCTGGGACAGAGGGGACAGGGAGGGACCGGGATGGGACAGCTGGAATGGTGGCAGACAGCTGGAGTGGGATGGGGCTGGTGGGACAGGGCTGGGACAGGGCTGGGACAGGGCTGGAACAGCCAGGATGGGGCTGGGACAGCTGGAGTGGGGCTGGGACAGGGTTGGGACAGGGAGGAACAGGGCTGGGACAGCTGGAATGGGGCTGGGACAGCTGGAATGGGGCTGGAACAGCTGGAGGGGTGGGGGACAAGGCTGGGACAGGCAGGATGGGGCTGGGACAATGGGGACAGGGTGGGATAGGGGTGGGACAGCTGGAATGGGGCTGAGACAGGGATGGGACAGCTGGAAGGGTAGGGGACAGGGATGGGACGTCCAGGATGGGACTATGACAGTGGGAACAGGGAAGGACAGGGCTGGGATAGCTGGAATGGGGCTGGGACAGAGCGGGACAGGGCTGGGACAGCCAGGATGGGGCTGGGACAGGGTTGGGACAGGGAGGGACAGGGCTGGGACAGTTGGAATGGACTGGAACAGCTGGAGGGGTGGGGGACAAGGCTGGGACAGCCAGGATGGGATGGGACAGTGGGGATAGGGAGGGATAGGGCTGGAACAGCTGGAATGAGGCTGGGACAGGGCTGGGACAGCTGGAATGGTGGGAGACAGCTGGAGTGGGACAGGGCTGGGACAGCCAGGATGGGGCTGGGACAGTGGTTACAGGGAGGAACAGGGCCGGGACACCTGGAATGGACTGGAACAGGTGGAATGGGGCTGGGACAGCTGGAATAGGGCTGGGACAGCGGGTACAGGAGGGACAGGGCTGGGATAGCCAGGATGAAGCTGTGACAGTGGGCACAGGGGACGGACAGGGCAGGGGCACCCAGGACACCCCTCCCGCAGGAAGCTGCTGGCGGTGCTCACTCAGTACGTGGAGCAGGCGGGCCGGGGCGAGCCCTGCGAGTCCCTCCCGCGCACCTTCAAAGCCCTGGAGTACATCTTCAAATTCATCGTGCGCTCCCGCCGCCTCTTCGCGCAGTGAGTGCTGCTGGGCTGTGCCTCCCAGTGCTCCCAGTGCTTCCCAGTGCTGCCTGTGCCTCCCAGTGCTACCAGTGTGTCCCAGTGCCTCTCAGTGCTCCCAGTGCCTCCCTGTCCCTCCCCTTGCTCCCAGTGCTGGCAGAGCCTCCCAGTACGTCCCAGTGTCTTCCAGTGTTTCCCAGTGCTGCTGTGCCTCCCAGTGCTCCCAGTGCCTCCCAGTGTGTCCAGTGTTCCCAGAGCCTCTGAATGCCCACCAGTGCTTCCAATGTCTTCCAGTCAGTTCCAGCGCCTCCCAGTACTGGCAATGTCTCCCAGTGTCTCCCAGTGTCTTCCAGTGTCTCCCAGTGCTCCCAGTGCCACCCAGTGCCTCTCAGTACTCCCAGTTCCTCCCAGTCCCTCTGAGTGCTTCCAGTGCTGGCAGTGGCTCCCAGTGCTCCCAGTGCTTCCAGAGCCTCCCAGTGATCCCAGTGGTCCCAGTGCTGCCTGTGCTGTGCCTTCCAGTGCTTCCCAGTGCCACCTATGCTGGCGCCTCCCAGTGCCTCGCAGTGCTGCCTGTGCTGGCGCCTCCCAGTGCTCCCAGTGCCTCCCAGTGCTGCTTGTGCCTCCCAGTGCGTCCCAATGCTTCCAGAGCCTCCTAGTGCCCCCCAGTGCTCCCAGCGCTGACCCTGCCTCACAGTGACCCTGTCCCACAGTGACCCTGACAGGGGCTTTCCAATGAGCTCTCCAAATCCTCCCACGATGGAAATGGCGAAATGCCGTGGGCATTCTGTGCCCCTGCAGGGCTGCTGCTGTGCTGGGAAGGTTTCCTGGAGCCTGGTGGGAGTGAGGTTGGTGGCGCCCCCCAAGCCCAACCCTGCTGTGATGAGCAGAGGAACAGGGTGGGGGCCTCCTCAGCTCAAAGGTCAAGGTGCCCCCCGGGCTGGTGTCACTTTTTCCCCGTGGGCATAGGGCTCACATCCAGCCTGGGTGATGCACAAACACCTTCCTGGCGTGGGAGAGGGGGAAATCAGGAAATCTGGCATCTCCAGATGTTCCTCTTTCGTTCCACGTAGGCAGCACTGAAAGCTGAAGTGTCCTGAGGGGGCAGTGAGGGACCCCCACACCCACACAGGGCACGGGGTGGGCACTGCTGGCACTGAAAGCTGTGGGGTCACCCCATTCCCAGGCACCCTGGTTCAGCAGGAAGCTGTTTTGGGGCTGAATGAGGGCTTTGCCTCCTGCACCCCAAGCTCAGAATGTGCTGGGATCCCTGTGTGTTGTATTTATTTGGAATGCCCTGATGAAGGCAGGAATGATGAATCTGACTCCATGTTCTCAGAAGGCTAATTCATTATATATATATAAAATGAATTATTTATAATTATACACTTATATACACTTATATATAATTGATATTTATATTATTTTTATTATTTTTTATTATCTTATTATCATCACTATTATATTATATTATATTATATTATATTATATCATATCATATCATGTCATGTCATGTCATGTCGTCATATTATGTCATATTATAGTATTATATCATATTATATTATACAATACTCTACTAAAGAATACAGAAAGGACACTTACTGAATGCCAAAAAGATAATAATGAAAACTTGTGACTCTCTCCAGAGTCCCGACACAGCTTGGCCCTGGTTGTCCAAAGAATCGAAACAACCACAGCAGAATCCAATGGAACAATCACCTTTTGGACAAACAATCTCCAAACACATTCCCCATGAGCACAACACAGGAGAAGCAAATGAGATAAGAATTGTTTTTCTTTTCTCTGAGGCTTTTCAGCTTCCCAGGAGAACAATCCCAGGTGAAGGGATTTTTCAGAGAATGTGAATGCCACACCTGCGTCCCCTCCCAGTGGCACTGGGGAGCTGTGCTGGTGTCCCTGTCCCCCTCAGGGACTGTCACACTCACTTTGCCCCACTCTGGATTAACCAGAGTTAATTAACCATGGGGTTTGATCCCTGTCTGTCCTCACCACTTCTATCTCCTCCCAGGTGCTCCAGAACCTCACACCCAGCACCTGCCTCTCCCTCCTGTGTGAGCATATTCTCAGCTCAGAGCGCTCCTGGCAGCAGAAATTAATTACCCAGCTTGTTTGCAAACAGCCCCCTGAATGAGTTTGCCTGGAGCAGAGGCATCCCTGAGGACATTTAGTGATTTTATAGAGCTTCCCTTTATCTCAACATGCACTAACACGGGCTCCTCACATCCTCTAAGTGCTCTGAGCGTGCTGCAATTTGTACAGGCTGTAATCGACAGGAATTGGGTTGTAATTAGAGTCAGTTGCTGCAGATTGCTGCCTGTGGGATTGCCTGTGCTGCTGCTGGAGCTGGACAAGCAGAGCCTGCAGCTCCTCTGAGGAGCCCAGGTAGCTGCAAGGATGATTGAGCCCTGTTCCCCACCTTGGGACACCTCCCTGTGTCCCCTCAGTGCCCCAATGGCACCGTGGTGACGTCTGTCCCTCGCTGCTTCCTCCTTGCTGCTTCCTCTGCCTGCTTCTCTTTTTCAGCCACCACTGAGAGTGGCAAAACTTTCTCTGCCGGTTGCTCATTGTCCCCAGATTTTGAGGTCAAATTTTGGACCAACCCATGTGTCTTGGTTTGGAAAGACAGGAGTCTGCTAAGGAAGGCAGGAGCCTCTCCTGAAATGGAGAATGTAAACCCTCCCCACCCCTCCGAATTGCAATAAATTTTAAATTAAGGGGCTCTCAGGCAAAAATATGGGAGCGGGAATGACAGTTCTCTAATAGGGAAAGGAAAAAAAGGAAAGGATAAAATAAACAATGCAGTACACCAGAACAACACTGACAGAGTCAGAACCCAACCTGACACCCTGTGGGTCAGGGTGTTAGTGGCAGTCCCATTGGAATTGTGGCTCAGCCCTCCTGCAGTGCCAGCTGTGGCTCTGCTGCAGCAGGGATCCTGCACAAGGGGGGAGTTTTCCTCTGCAGCTCCAGGGCTGCTGCAGATGGGCCTGGGCTCCCTCTGGCCATGCAGGGCAGCAGAAAGCTGCTCCTCTGGGAATGCAGGGGGCAAAGGCTGCTGGGGTGTCCCAAACCTCAGATTGGATCCAGATAGGAATGCTTGGCTCCTCCCCTGGGCGGAGCATCTCCCCATGGGATGATGGAATTTGATCAGCCATGCAGGGACACTCACTGGCCATTAACAGAAGATAATTAATGATTAATGGCCGATGAACAGCAGAGATCTCCCCGGAGGGAGGATTGGCTGTCGAAGAGATAAAGAAAACTGCCCAATGAACAGAAGATAACTGCTCCACCTGACAGATAATGATAGAACACACACATTGCCTTGCAATCTAGGATAGATGCCAGGGAAGGTGTGTGGTGAGGCATTCACATTCTCTGAAAAAATCCCTTCACCCAGGATTTCTCTCCTGAGAAGCTAAGAAGCCTCAGAGAAAAGGAAAACATTTCTTATCTCATTTGCTTCTCCTGTGTTGTGCTCATGTAGAATGTGTTTGGAGATTGTTCACCCACAGGTGATTGTTCCATTGGATTCTGCTGTGAGTTGTTTTCACTCTTTGGCCAATCGGGGCCAAGATGTGTCAGGACTCTGGAGAGAGTCACGAGTTTTCATTATTATCGTTTTAGCATTCAGTAAGTGTCGTTTCGGTATTCTTTAGTATAATATAATATAATATAATATAATATAATATAATATAATGTAATATAATATAACTACAAATTATATATACAAATCATACAAATTCTATAAATATATAAATTATATATAAATAATAAATAAGCCTTCTGAGAACATGGAGTCAGATTGATCATTCCTGCCTTCGTGGGGCATTCCCAGCAAGTACAGCAGTGTGGCATGGTGGCAGTGTGGTGACAGCACGGTGACTCTGGCCCTTGCAGGCTCTACGAGGGGAAGGAGGTGGCCGAGTTCCAGCGCTCCCTGCAGCGCTTCTTCCTCGCCCTCAACCAGCTGATGCAGTCCCCGCTGGAGGGTCCCACCCTGCTCTCCCAGGTATGGGGACATGGAGGCCCTGGAGGGCTCAGCTGGGCTCTGGGGTGCCAGGGAGGGTGCCCAGGCCAGGCCTGGAGTCCCCATGCTGGGGTGACACTGTGTCACTGTGTCTGTGTTCATTTTAGGGGTGTCACTGTGTTACTGTGTCTGTGTTTGTTTTTGGGGTGACACTGTGTTACTGTGTCTGTGTTCATTTTGGGGGTGTCACTGTGTTACTGTGTCTGTGTTTGTTTTTGAGGTGTCACTGTGTCTGTGTTTGTTTTGGGGTGTCACTGTGTCTGTGTTTGTTTTTGGGGTGACACTGAGTCACTGTCTCTGTTTTTGGGGTGACACTGTGTCACTCAGTGTTCATTTTTGGGGTGACACTGTGTCTCTGTGTTTGTTTTTGGGGTGACACTGTGTCAGTGTGTCTGTGGTTTCTTTGGGGTGACACTGTGTCAGTGTGTCTGTGTTTGTTTTGGGGTGACACTGTGTCTCTGTGTTTGTTTTTGGGGTGACACTGTGTCACTCAGTGTTTGTTTTGGGGTGTCACTGTGTCTGTGTTTGTTTTTGGGGTGACACTGTGTCTCTGTGTTTGTTTTTGGGGTGACACTGAGTCACTGTGTCTCTTTGTGGGGTGACACTGTGTCGCTGTCTCTGTGTTTGTTTTTGGGGTGACACTGTGTCTCTGTGTTTGTTTTTGGGGTGACACTGTGTCAGTGTGTCTGTGTTGGTTTTGGGGTGACACTGTGTCTGTGTTTGTTTTTGGGGTGACACTGTGTTGTTGTGTTTGTTTTTGGGGTGTCACTGTGTCTGTGTTTGTTTTTGGGGTGACACTGTGTCAGTGTGTCTGTGTTTGTTTTTGGGGTGACACTGTGCCGCTGTGTCTGTGTTAGTTTTTGGGGTGACACTGTGTCTCTGGGATCCTGTCTGAAGGCAGCTCTGTGGTGTCTCTGCAGGGAGCAGCTCTGAAGTACCTGCCCTCCATCCTCGAGGACGTGTTTGGGATCTTTGACTCCTCCACGCTGGGGTAGGGTCCCTGTGTCCCCACCAACCCCCTGTCCTGCTCAGCACCTGCCACAGCCACCTCTGTCCCTGCATCCAGCACAGAGCAGGGGGGTCTGGGATCACCTCCTGATCCCCTTCCCAGTGCAAAAATGGGAGAGTTCTGCTCAGTTTTAGCCTGGGAACTCAGCCCCAGCTGGGTTCACTTTGGGAATTCAGGCAGGGTTTGCCCGCTGGGTGCCGGTGGTGGGCACAGCTGCCCTGTGGGACCATCCTGCCCCATCCAGGGGGTCTCCCCACCCATCAGCCCCATCCTGAGCAGAACCTGGAGCTCCTGCTTTAACCCCTCTCCTGCTGGCAGGGCCGTGCTGAGGGACTTTGTGGGGAACCTGCAGCCCCAGCGCCTGCTGAAGCAGAAGCTGCAGTGCCTGACTGACATTGCCAGCAGCAAAGCCTTCCAGTGCCACGGTGAGAAGGGTCCTGGGGGCACTGCCCTTGCTGAGCCCACCCAGAGGCCATGCACAGGCTGGGGAGGAGTTCCTGAGCAGGGATTCCTCCTCTGCCTCATCCCAGGATGGCTCCATAACTGGGGACAATTCCCTCATGGCTGAGGTGGCTCCATAACTGGGGACAATTCCCTCATGGCTGGGGTGGCTCCATAACTGGGGACAATTCCCTCATGGCTGAGGTGGCTCCATAACTGGGGACAATTCCCTCATGGCTGGGGTGGCTCCATAACTGGGGACAATTCCCTCATGGCTGAGGTGGCTCCGCAGCTGGGGACAATTCCCTCATGCCCGTGTCCCCTTGTCCCCCCAGAGTGCAGGGAGCTGGTGCTGCAGGCAGCCCTGCCCATCCTGCAGGAGCTGATCCAGGCAGGGGAGGAGGAGGACGCCTGCATCGAGCTGCTCAGCAGCATCCTGGAAGTTCTCTACCAGGCCCAGAAGGTAAAGCAGGAATCAGCTGGGCAGTGACCTGGACAAACCCCTCTGAGTGAGGTTAATCACCAGTTCCTGGCCAGGATATTGTTGGAGTTCACTCACTGTGGGTGTCACCATCCCAGTAGGACATGCCCAAGGTGGGACACAAACTTTGTGTTTTCCACCTCAGTGAGCTTCTGCTGGGTTGCCCAACATCCACATGAGTGGGGAAGGGGCTTCCAAGCTCAGGGATGACATTAACCTGAGGGTAGTGGGGACATCAGCAGCTCTGCAGAGCTGGGAGGAAGAAAATGAGGGAAGGGAGTAAAGTGAGATCACATTGATAATGAATCATGAAAGATCTGGAGAGACATTCTGTGGTATTGGCCAACCAGACCAAGCAGGTTGAGAATGGCTTTTCTGAATTTGAATAAGTCAAACAAATGGTATCCAAGCCTGATGCATTGGCCAAGGTCACCCAAACATTGGTTTTTGGTTGACTCACAGGCAGGATCATGTTACTTAAGGCAAACAACAAAGTAATAAGGCATGAGTATGATTTCTGATTTAGTTTCCTATTTTCCTTTGGTTTCCTTTCTGATTCAAGGCACTTTTACTTTTTGTCTTTTCCCAATTCTATTTTGGGACAGGCCAAATATAACTAAAATTTCAATGGGCTTATACCTGGTATGAAATTCTGCTGGTCAGCGATTGCCAGTCACCCCCTGGGCAATATCACACTCCAAAATGAAGAGTGATGGCCCCAAACATGAGGCAGGGACATGGTGGGCACCCACCCACCCAAATGTGGCCTGTCTGGGGTGGACTGGGGCCATTCCTGGGGGGTCTCATCTCTGTTTCTGGTGATTGCAGAGTGCAGAGAAGCTGCGAGCACGGCACAAGGACCGTGGGGATGCGGAGCTGGTGAGTGTCCCTGCAACAGCACAGGGAATGGTTTGGGAATGTACAGGGCTCTGTTCCTGCCCTTCCTGGCTGCTCTGGGGTCTCTTTTGGAGGCCCTTGGGGGAGTTCAGGTGTTCCACCTGCAGTGTAGTGACCGTGGGAGCTGAGTTGGATGCTGTGTCCTGGGAGGGTGAGGTGGTTCATTAATCCCCACAGCACCAGGAAGCCAGGAATGGGATGGAAAGCTCAAAAATTGTGGTGAAAAATCTCATTTTGGGCTTAACTTTTAAACCTGAAATAGCCTTTATGGAGAGTGTGGTGGAACACTCTGAGGGAAGACTCTTCTTTTGCTTCAACCCCATGAGAGTTGACCCCACCTTTACCTGCCCAGCGCCATCCCCATCATCCTCAGCCATCCTTGGCTGTCCCCATTGTCCCCACCAGGTGGCCACAGTGCCAGGAAGGTGGACAGAGCTGTGCACCTCTCTGTGCAGGGCTGAGCTGTACAGAGATCCCAAATCCCATATTTTTGCTGGAGCACATTGCCTCGCTCTGACTCCAGCTCCGGATCAGGCTCCATTCCCGTGTCACCACCCCGATGCCACCAGCCCTTGAAGGAGCCATGCTGGGACACCTCCCACAGCTGGGACGTGCCCTGCCATGGCCCTGCCACCTCTCACCTTGCAGGCACAGGTGAAGAAACACATCCAGGTGATCCTGGAGCGGCTGCTCCACACGGTCAATCGCAGGGTGATCGTCCTGGACCGGGAGAACCCGCTGAGGGTGAGTCCCACTGTGCCACACGGGAGAGGTGACACTACTTTGGGGGCCTGACTGGGTGTGACTGGCTCTGCTCCTCGCTGGCCCTGCTGCCAGCACCCAGCAGGATGGGGGTGGATGGCAGGGATGTGCCCAGTGGGATGCAGGGGGAAGCAGCAGCAGGAGCATCTGGAGAGCTGCTGTGTCCTGGGAGGGTGAGGTGGTTCCTTAATCCCCACAGCACCAGGAAGCCCAGGAATGGGATGGAAAGCTCAGAAACTGTGGCAAAATGTCTCATTAAGTTTGAAACCTGAAATAGCCTTCATGGAGAGCATGGTGGGATGCTCTGGGGGAAGATTCTGCTCTTGCTTCAAGCCCATGAGAGTTGATCCCACCTTTATCTGCCCACGGGGCAGGAAAAGCTGTTTTGGGAGCAGTGAAGGGTTTGGGCTGCATTATCTGGAAATATCAGCTGAACCCGGAGAACCGTCGCGGTTTTACTGCCAAAAACGCGTGAGGAGCACGCTGGACACGCGGGAAGGGAGGCGGGACAGTGGAGCAGCGATGGGAGGGGACAGAGCCGGGGCTAGCGGGACTCGGGATCTTTCTGGGGACAAACCCAGGAATTGCACTGCGTCTTTGGGTGGGCGATGAGCTGTGTTGGTGTGCGTTCTGGAAGCTCGGAGCAGGGAATTGCCGTGCCATGCCGTACCGTGCTGTACCGTGCTGTACCGTGCCCTGCTGTACCGTGCCGTACCGTACCGTGCCGTGCCCGGGGCGCTGCGGGCAGCCGGAGCGGAGGCTCCGCCGTCGGGGCCGTGCGGCGATGCCAGCGCTGGGCTGTGATTCAGCGGTGACTCAGGCAGGAGATGCATGCGGGGTCGCGCTGGGCTCCATCCCTGCTTCTACCCCTCGTTCCCAGGCTCTGTGAGTGAGAGCCCAAAGCGCTGGGCAGCGATGGAGGCGAGGGGGGATGAGGGTGAAATGCAGTGATGGAAACAAGGGGGGATGAGGGATGAGGGTGCAGCACAGCCCAGGGCAGCACAGAGCGATCCTCGGCTGTGACGCGCTCCTGCTGCTCACTCGTGGCTCCACAGGCGCCCTCTGGCAGCTCTCCCTGCACAACCCCTGATGCTGCCATAGCCCCTGCCTCTGTCGGGATTCCCAGACCCTCCAGCTCCAGCTGCTGGGAAGGGCTGAGGGGACCAAAAATCCCTGTGCCTGCAGCAGGACAGTGCCCATCCATCCGTCCATCCATCCATCATCCATCCATCCATCCATCCATCCATCCATCATCCATCCATCCATCATCTATCCATCCATCATCTATCCGTCCATCCATCCATCCGTCCACCCATCCATCCATCCATCATCCATCACTCCATCCATCCATCCATCCATCCATCCATCCATCATCCATCACTCCATCCATCCATCCATCATCCATCACTCCATCCATCCATCCATCCATCCATCCATCCATCCATCCATCATCCATCACTCCATCCATCATCCATCCATCATCCATCCATCCATCATCCATCCATCCATCATCTATCCATCCATCCATCCATCCGTCCATCCATCCATCCATCCATCCATCCATCCTCCATCCGTCCATCCATCCATCCATCCATCCATCCATCATCCATCTATCATCCATCCATCCATCCATCCCTCCATCATCCATCCATCATCCATCCATCCATCATCCATCCATCCATCCATCCATCCATCCATCCATCCATCCATCATCCATCCATCCGTCATCCATCCATCATCCATCCATCCATCATCCATCCATCCATCCATCATCCATCCATCCCGTGGCTGCTGGGATATTTGAGCTCCTCATTCCCGTCACCAGCCAGTGAATCTTCCCCACCCATGAGGTCCCTGCCCACCCCACCCTTCCACCCGGGGATTTTGGCGACAGATCTCCTCTCTCCAGGCCCGAGTCTCACAGAGACCATTCCCCACTGTCCCTGCCCAGTGCAAACCCTCGGTGCTCCCAGTTAACCTGCAGGAAGCAATGGGAGGGATGGCTGAGCAGCCCCTGCTGGGCACTGATTTGAGTCTGGAGCACCTCAGGGAACCCCAAACAGAGGGAAATCCAGGGAAAACAGCCGCTGCCCCCTCCTCATCCTCATCCTCCTCCAGAACAGAAGCGCACAGGCGGGAGAGGATGTAACAAAAATAGCGTCTCCTTGGAATTTATTGAATTCTCCTCAAATACAGCCGCTGCCCCCCTCGCCGTTCCCACACCCCCGAGCTCCCCGCGTTCAACGGAATGGTTAAAAATAGAAAAGCTGGTGCTGCCCAAACCCTACCGAGGGAGGGAGGGAGGGAGGAGAGGTGGGCAGGGGCTCAGTGCTGGGCCGGCGCCCCCACGCTCCGGGCTCACAGGAACCAGAAGCATTTGCGCCGCGATTTCTTCACGTCCAGCTTTGCCGGCAGCCTCGACACGGGCGACGGCTCCTGCCTGGGCGGGGAGGGGGTCCCCGACACCCCCAGCGCCACCCCCGCCGCCCCCAGCGCCGTCGGGGGGGAGCTCGGCCCCGCGTCGCCCTCGATGTGGCTCAGCACCCGCTGGAAGCGACCTTCCTGCTGGCGGAAATCGTGCTCCACGCTGCGACACGTGGGGACCGTGTCAGGGGGCAGCGTGGCATCCCCTTGTCGCAGCCCCCCTCACCTGCCACAGCCCCCCGTTTGTCACAGCCCCTGGAACCCCAAAAACCGTCCCCGGGCAGCTCAGTGTCCCCAACACAGCCTTTGGGTAGCTCAGTGTCCCCAACACAGCCCCCGTGTCCCCAACACAGGCCCCGGGGAGCTCAGTGTCCCCAGAACAGCTTTTGGGCAGCTCAGTGTCCCCAACACAGCCATCAGAGAGCTCAGTGTCCCCCAGCCTCTGGTGTCCCCGCAGCCCCAGTGTCCCTGCAGCCCCCGCAGCCCCCTGTGTCCCCTCAACTCCCGGTGTCCCTGCAGCCTCTGGTGTCCCTGCAGGCCCCGGTGTCCCCTCAAATCCCGGTGTCCCCGCAGCCCCCACAGCCCCCGGTGTCCTCGCACTCCCCGGTGTCCCCGGTGTCCCCGCAGCCCCCGGTGTCCCACAGCCCTCAGTGTCCCCGCACTCCCCGGTGTCCCCGCACTCCCCGGTGTCCCCGGTGTCCCACAGCCCCCGGTGTCCCCGGTGTCGCCGGTGTCCCCGCGCACCCTGCGGTGCGGGCTGGCTGCCGGCAGCCTCGTGCTGCGCTGTCCCCTCTGGCGGAACGCGCGTCAATCCCCTCGGCCCGGCCCCGTCCCATCGCATCAGCGAGGTGACACCGAGTGTGCCGGGAACGGCCACGTGGCGCTGCCACCCCGCACACGGGCAGCACCCCACGAGCCCCCCCGGCGGGCTGGCACCTCGTGTCACTTCCTGTCACCTCGTGTCACCTCCCCTGGCGAGGACAAGGAGTGTCCCCGGCATTTCTAGAGATCGGGGTGAGGGGTGCAGAGCAGGGAGCAGCCTCAGCTCCCTGCAGTGACACAGGGAGAGGATGGCACTGCTGTGGGACCCCAGGGTGGGACACAGGCAGGTCTGATCCCCTCCATGGGCCATCCCTGGGGTGCTGCCCCTGCTCCCTCACCCTGTGTCCCCACAGAGCCTCTCCTCATCTCATGGGTGGCAGTGAAAGCCACAGCGAGTCCCCAAGGGGAGCCTGGCCATTCTGGGGAGCCACCTCCCCCAGCTGTGACATCTGTGCCGCTGCCATGCCGCCTGGGGACAGGCTCGTCAGGCCTAATTAGCCTGAAGTTCCCCAAGAGCTACAGCTCCAAACTCCGCTTGGAGCAAGTGTGGGGAGCAGGAGCGCTGAGGCAGCGCTGCCACTGAGCACAGGGACACGAGGGGACCCCAGCCGGGTGCACCCCCAGCCTGAGGTGCCCCAAGGAGGGGGCACAGTGCTCACAGAGCATGGCAGGGCAGTGGCACAGGTGCACCACAGAGCATGGCTTGGGACCAGCTCACCATGTCCTACACATCCCAGTGCTAACAGCATCAGCATCCCCGAATTAACAGCAAATGGGAACACACCTGGCCAGCCACCTGCACTGGCCAGAGGGACAGAAGGACACCCAGGGGTGCCTGGAAGGGCAGAAAGCTTTAGCAAAACTGCAACCCTGCCAATTCCCCCAAAGACAATGCTGGGGGGGGCATGAGATGCCTTTTCCCACAGCCCAAACGGGATCTGAGGAGAGAGCGCAGCAGAGGGAGGGGAATCCACACCCTGGCCCAGAGCCAGCGCTGGGGAGCAGAGCCCAGGCCCTGTGTTCCCAAACCACAGTGAGGGGCAGGAGCCCATCTGCAGCATCTGTGCAGAGCTGGCACAGGGACAACAGGATGCAGGCTGCATTTGGAGCGAGCCCACGCAGCAGCCGCCAGCGAGGCTTCCCCCATAGATTGCTGCTACAGGAGGGAAATGCTCTGCCACGGTGCCAGAGCAGCCCCTTCCAGGTGCTGCTCCTTCATGGAGATCACCCTGGCTGATCTGATCTTCAGGGACAGCCCAGACACCCAAATTTGTTCTGTGTGTGGTGTCCCCAACACGGGGACAGGAGGTGCGGGCTTGGCTGTCACCCTCCCTGCTGCCTCCCAGCCAGGGGAGAGCTCTGGGAGTGCAGGGGAGCAGAGCCCAGGGGTGCTGGAGCCAGGGCTGGCCCTCACCTGTAGATGATGCAGGCACAGTCCCGGCAGGTCCCGCAGTTGGCGATGTCCTGCCCGGTCCGGTACGAGTGGCGCCTGTGACAGAGATGTGCCGTGAGCCTGGGGACCTGCTCTGGGTCTGCCCGAGTCCTCTGCTGGCCCTGTCCCACCCCAGCAGCCAGGACTCTGCTCCCTGCAGGCCAGCTCCTTTTCTCCCTGGCATTCAGACCCTCTTCTCCCTGTATCTCCTGAATCCCAGCTCCTCTTCCTCTCTAGGATCCATCTCCTGTCCTCCCTGGATCCTAGCTCCTTTTCTCCTTGGGATTCAGACCCTCTTTTCCCT